CCGGGCCTACACCAGCGCCTCCTATCCCCGCAGCCTAACGACAGAGGAATATCAAACAACTTCTCAACCCCGCAGGCCTACTCCTCCTTGCTGTGCATCTGGAACGAGTCTGGTCACACTGAGGCTATAGTTACCCAAAACGAACTGGTCAAGGGCATATAGGCATCTATCCGCATCATTCGGATCTGAGGAAACAACAACCTGATCACCACAATAGACGCGAGTTATGACCTTCGAATTGACAGAAACCATAGCCCTTGCTTAAGCCCGTTGTCTTATCTCTGATGAGGCTGACCATAGTGAGAGCACCAAACTGTTCCAATAGGTCCCTCAAATAGGTCTCCGTCATCACCTACGATGAAATCAAGGCAAACGTCATCGTGGATGCATTACCGGTGGGAGATGGTATATCCCTAATTGTAGGTTAGACCCTGGAGCAGTCTTCTTAGTAGAGGACCCTCCTGAATACACCATCATTGCCTCCGTCATCTATGGCCTTTATACTACCACACAGTTCCTCGATAGTAACCTTTTGTATGTCCTCAGCGGTGATGCTCTTGGATGGGTCCTCCTTGTTGTAGCCGTGGGGCCTCGTTATCGCTAATTTACGACCATCTAAGTCGATACCTAACACGATCTGTCATCACCATCAGTACTGTTTCTGGTAGTAGTACTACCATTGAGTCTCATAGCGACTGTGGCTGCAATAGGCGTTCGGAACTCCACGAGAGCTGTACGACTGTGACCATCCGAGATGAGGAAGAACACAGACACTACCTGACGAAAGCCGTAATCAACAGCACGAGCATCACCGTAGTAGTAGTAGTAGTAGTAGTAGTAGTAGTAGTAGTAGTAGTAGTAGTAGTAGTAGTAGTAGTAGTAGTAGTAGTAGTAGTAGTAGTAGTAGTAGTAGTAGAGGGTGGTAGTACTGGATGGAGTGGCGTAGTCTTCCCTCCATTGCCAGTAACGGCAAATAGTGCTCCCTTGAAGAAGTCCATCACCGACTGCTGACTAGAGTCCTCTGACGGATATTCTTCACCGTTAACCTCCTTCCGATGCATCACCTTTGACCTGGCACCAATACTAACCAACCATCCATCACCTCCGAACCATACCTCCATTGCAGTAGCCGAGACTCCTTCC